CAGTCTGAGGCTGAGGGCCATTCTGAGACCCGTCCATGTTATAGTCGATAACAGATAGAGAGCTCTCTGTACTGTCTACCACACACAGGAATCAATAATTTTATAAGGCTGTGGAACTAATACAATTATTACAACATTTACAATTATGGTTCAATAACAAAACTGTACCAGCTTAGACTGCTGCCCCAGCGACCTGGCCCCAGATAAGCGGAAGAAAATGGATGAATGGATGGAACAAAACTGTAACTATGATTATCAGAAAATGCGATACTATTCAGTACTAAAACTAGTACTGAAACTAGATTCAGCAAGTATCAACACTGAAAATAACCCCATCCAGTCATCTTTTTCTGCTTTATCTGGGGTCGAGTCATGGAGGCAGCAGTCTGAACAGGGAGGCCCAGTCTTCCCTTGCCAGGATCCCAAGGTGACAGCTGAGAGACATACTCCCTCCAGCGTGTCCTGGGTCTTCCCCAGAGCTTCTCCCAGTGAGATATGAAAACCTCCCCAGGGAAGCATCCAAGAGTCCATTATAATAATAATAATGGATCGGACTTATATTGTGTTTTTTTTTGCCACTGGCACCCCCCTGTTGCCTGGTATTCCCAAGGTCTTCAATCCAAGTACTAACCAGGTCCGGTCCTATCCAGTTAGAGAAGTTCAGGCTTTAACAAGGGAGTACGGTCAGAATCTATAAATAAATATCTATATATTTATTTTACCTGTGCCTGTGCCTGTACTGCTGCTGCTACTGGTGCTGGTGCTGTTGCTGTTGCTGTTGCTCCTGACCAAACTCTCTGTGATTTCAGACTCCTCAATGTCCAACGCAGCAGTGGAGTCACTCACACAGTTGTAGATCTCCCAGTTTGTCACCTGCGTACCTGTGAACACAACAACAAAGAATTCTTCACTCACAAAGTTTTTACATTTGCAAAAACAAACAGACAAAAAAAACAACAACACCTATAACTTTTGACATTTTATCTAGTGTAAACTGCAATTTCACCTAGCAAAACTTTGTCAGAGCAGCATTTTGACTGGCACAAGCAGCTGATTTTCACTTGCATGTTTTTATGATAACAAATGTCAGCCTTAACTTAACTTTCATGTAATTAAGCAAGAGTTTAAGATTTGCTTACTTGTTAGCCAAAAGAGTACACACACTAACACACTTAAACCTTATATACATTATTAATAAACTGTCTAACCTGCTTCAGCTGTGAACACTGTGTCTGTCTGGATGCTTTTAGTTTTAGGTGCGTTGTCCAAAGTCTGCATCTCTCGCTCCATAAACTTATAATTTCCATGTTTAGTTTTACACAACTCAATGGAGTGACGATTACTCTCTCTGGAACAAAGCAAGGGTACGCTTGAGAATGAGAGACAGTGTACAGCGGAGAGAGAGTTATTGTATGATACAGAGGGACAGTGAGTGTATGGTATATATATGGTGCAGGGCTATAGGAAACAGGAGGCATAAAAGAAAACTTGTATATACTATTTATACACAATACTATTTTTCATGTCATTGCTGTTGTATCCCTGTAAAAGTAAAAATACATGATTTAGTAGTTTTCTCACTTCTGCTGCTCGGCCTCCTCCGCGTAGTCAGGCAGCACAGTACTGGGGATGTCCAGCAGAGTGATAGTGTCTGTCTCTGTCAGCCAAATGTCCACCAACGTCTCCGAAATATCCTCTGCCATTTCTTTAACAGTCTCTGCTTCCTCTGACAAACAAACCACACCATATCTTATTATCACAAATCAGATATTATATTAATTGATCCTAAAAATAGTATTGAAGCTAGATACTCATTTGAGCGAATATCAATAGTAAAAAAGTCACATTCATAGGACAGAAATTAACCTTTCCTGAATAGTTTGAATGCATAACACCACAGAGACTAGTATACGCCCATGGTATCAGAATTGGTATTGAGTATCAAGTCTATTACTTAGTATCACAATAAAACTTTCAGTATAGTTACAAACATAGACTGTATAAAAAAGTGAACTAATGGAGTGTGATGTCACTCATAGGGTTTGGCTCCAGTCAAATGAAGCTCATTGTGGCTGACAGTTACAGGGGAAAATTTGGAGTTTTATATTTGGAATTTTGACCAACTTTCAAATTGGAGCCAGAATTGATAGAGCGCGGTGGCTAGCAGTGTGGCAATGTACATTTACAGTCTATGGTGACAACATTGTATCACATCGACCATAAGCTTTAATGCTAATGGAAGGTCGTTCATAAAAGGACACTCACCTGCAGTCCTTTGCAGATCAAAAACAGGGAGACTTTCCTCTGGCTCTAAACTCAGGTAGCTCTGGATGTACTGGGTTGTGGTGTCAAAAGGGAAAGTGCTGAAAAAAACAGTTAAATCCACACATCACTGTCATTGGTTAAATCCACCTGTCACTCACACAGGCTAGTCAATAGGAAGAGTGGGTGAACTGTATTTGAAGAGCTTCAGCACAGAGAGCCAAGTCCACTTCTTCAGAGCAACTTATCTTTTTAGAGAGTCGTTGTTTTTGGGGCACAAGCAAGTCCTAATAGCTGAGTATTTTAGCCTTTCAGTTTGACTTTAGTTTCACAATACTGAAATTCAACCTGTTAGTCTTTTAACTGTGTTAATAATGTTAAATGTGTGATTAAAGATATGCAAATCTCATTCGAACACACTACGTTTTAACTATTGATACTTAGCAGTGGCATCACGTGGGAAGGGGGTGGTGGGGGGGTGGGGGGTCTACAGAATGTTCAGCAGTTACCATGAAAATTTGCTTTTTAAATCCATTTTCTTCTTGAGTTTTCTGACTAAAGTGTTTGCCATGAGCACCTGATGGTTTCGTTTTGGCCCAGGTCTGAATCTGAGACGCTGCCTCCATCCTGAAAAAACATGCTTTGTTTTGAGGCGTCTGGGTCAAGCAGAGTGAGCGGCTGAGGAGTCACGTCTGCACCATCCTCATCCAAAACCTGCAGGAGATAAGATTATAAATTAAGAATTCATACGTTAACCATTTGAAAGTAAGTAGTAACTTACAGTACTTCAAGTAGTACTAGTTACTTGCTGTGTTAGTAGACACATTATTGTATTTCATTGGTAAAATGAAACATTATATCCTACAAGATGTGTAATGACAGTTCGATGTCAAATTGCTTTTGCAGGAGTAAAAAATATATAAAGATTAGTATGTAATTTTTGACCACTCTTCCAGAAGCACCTTTGTGAGGTCACACACTGACGCTGGATGAGAAGGCCTGGCTCTCAGTCTCTGCTCTAATTCATCTTCATCAAGCTGGCCAAAGGATGAGATACAGACCACAGATGTTAAGACACAAAAGCTCCTGACCGTGCATGGAGGGTTCCATCCCAAATCCAGCACCCTGAGACTGAATGTGGCCCAGAAGGAAGGAGGCCAAAGACTAGCGAGTGTGGGAACCACCGTCCAGGATGAAACATCCAAGCTCCCGACAGATGAGGTGCTCAGAGAATGTCTCAGAGAGTGCGGACAGAGGAAGAGGTGCTGGAGGGACCATCGTGGCAGGACAAGCCCCTACACGGGGCATACCACCGAAACAGAACTTAAGTGGCTGATATCAAGAAATCCTCCCAATGGCTTGAGAGGGCTGTCTGAAGGACAGCACAGAGGCTCATCCTGGAGCACAGGAGCAGGCCCTGAGCACCTGAGCAATAGAGGCCCAGATCTACCACACCAGACAAGGGCCACAGTGTAGACTGTGCAAAGAGGCTCCTGAGACAGTCCAGCACAGAACTGCAGGTGTAAGACGCTGCAGGGAAAGCATACATGAAGCGCGACATAAAGTGACAGGCATAGTGTAAAGAAACATTTGTGCAGAGTACGGGCTGGAGGCCCATATGCAATATCAGGAACATGAGAAATTAAAGAAATACCAGGGGCTCAAGGAAGAGCTGGAGAAGGGCTGGAAGGTATATATATATATATATATATATATATATATATATATATATATATATATATATATATATATATATATATATACATTTTTTTCCCCTCTGATTTCAGTTATTTTCTAATGAGTAATCTGTTATTATTCTAAACTGTGATAGTTTAAGGCTGTGTGAATATAATAAACACACAGATGAACAGAATTCCTCACTTTGAGTTCCCGTTTGTCTTCATCTGAACCGTACAGTGTCTGACGTGTCCGCCTTTTGTCCCTAAAACACATGTGAAGACGCTCACGTTAAACACACGCTAACTTGAAGAATATTGTAACTAGCCAAGGTTATCTTCATTTAACTATATATATATATATATATATATATATATATATATATATATATATATATATATATATATATATATATATATATATATATATTTTTTTTTTTTTTTTTTTTTTTTTTTTGCTAACAATAAATTATTATACCTTTTTTGCTCCACATAAATGCTCATTTTGTAGATTTCGATATACCCTATGACTTAAAACTGAGACAGAAAGAGAGTTTTTCCCTTATTGTTTGATAAATGTTCTGCATAAATTAGCCTCACTTTGAAACTAACGGCTGAAGCGGGCATGATTTTGTTGCCATGACAGCGTGTGAAAGACGTAGACAGGAACATACAACTTTGTTCAAAATCCTTATCAATTTAAAGATTATACTGGCATTGTGACTCTAAAATAGGCAATTATATAGACTATAGTCGTTACAATATTGTAATCTGCTTGTCGTTTAAACATCAATCTACTGTCTATAGATGTCCAAGATCCAGTTTTTGACGGTGACATAAAATAAAAACTGAAGGCCAACAAATTGAAATAGCATTGCCACAGGCGCCACTTCACTTTTAAGCAGCCTCGAGTGTGATTTTATATCGTGTGCTGCTGATAGTAACTCAAATCCAAGGCCTTGTTTACATTACTTCAGACCCAGACACTTGACACATACTGAAAACCGCTTCTCTAATCTGGCAACCCGCGTGTCCTGTTTTGGGCTGTTTGGATTACATGCGCTCATGTTTGGGTGGGAAGGAGGCGAGATCTGAGATTTGCGCGTTTTATTTAGGAATTTTGGACAATTTGACTGCAGTAACGTCAATTTACGGTAGTTTTGCACGCTAAAACATGCAAATCTATTCATGCTAGTGGTTTTCATTGCGCTGCAGCTGTGTTGTTTATTATTTCCCCTGTTGGCATTGGTCCGATAAGGATAATCCGAAGGCTGTATAGTGATTTATTATGAGCTGCTGGGTGTTTTTCTGTCCATAGTCCAGGGGAGGTGTTAGTGTGCGGATCGTAGCTTTGTCCCGCGCCGAATGGAAGCGATCTGTCCCCGGGTACTGCTCCTCATCTGCCCGCCTGACCGCGTCCCTTCTCCAGATAGAAATCATGTCGGTGTCCGGGATGAAGAAGCAGTTCCACAAAGCGAGCCAGGTACAAGCTACAGACCTGCACATTTTCACTGTTGTGTTTGCTCTTTGCTATCTAAGATTTTATGGGCTATTTCCTCTTTCTTCATGGTCAGACTGCGCCACATGGCCTGGTTTTTGGCCAAACACTTACAGCACTTAAATACCTACTGATTTCTATTCTTCCCTTCTTCTTCTTCTTTAAAAAAAATCTAAAACAGAAAAAAGAACAGAATTAAAGTTTAGTGCTATCAATGACATTTTTAACTTTTTACTTTGTTGTTTGGTTGATTATTATTATGTTTAAACATGTTAAAGTCCAGTTTTGCAATAATATAAATTCAAATCGAAATTGAAACAAATTCTCAAACTATTTTTAGTTAGGAATTACCCTTCTGTGCATTAGTCTTAGCTAAAGAAACAATGTAGTTATGTGATCATATCTAATGAATGTTGCTCTCTGGCCAGATTACAAAGAGATAAAAAAAATAAACAAAGTATGAGTTTTTGAAAATGTTTTAATTTTGTTTCAATCTAATAATTTAACAATTGGCAATCTGGCCTTAAGTAATACTAATTAATACTAGTAATAATAGCATAGTAGTAAACAATAGTAGTATTTAGCAGCACCTGGTCAGGCTTGTTTATAAAACCTTATATGAAATTCAATAGAACAGAAGTAGAGTCAATGGATTACACTTTGAAAGCATCAAATATTTGTACAGTGCAATTGCAGACCAACAGCTGTTTTATAGAATAACGAAACAAAAGTTTGTTCTTGCTCCCGTTTGCACCTCCTTATTGGGCAAGACTGTTTGAGTTTGAGTCACCTACTTAAAGAATGTGACCTTAAAGTGTCTCCAGTGCACGGTACAGTACAGACATGCAGTGTTTGTGTAGTGTTTATGCAAGTAGTCTGTCTTGTCTTACTAGCTCCTCTGCGAAGAACAAAATTACCTGCCTAATTTGGGTCATATTATTATTTATAAAAACTGCAAACACTGTAGTTTAGTTCAGAAATGTATGTGATTCTTGTATTAGTTTAGCAGCTCATATTTCAGTCTTTCAGTCTCCATCTGTAGTTCCTAGGAAGTTACACAACAATAAAAAAATGCAGTTTCATTCCTAGATATTGAATTACTAACTAATTATTAACATTAGCTCTGTATGATATCCAGTACTAAAATGACACAATTTTAAACACATTAGATGGTCTCTTAAAGATACAAATATTTAAAATCATTTGCTGGTTTTACAGAAAGTATTAATTTAATTTCATCATTCGTAAACAATTTAAAATCAAATCTCAATTGATAGAGTTAGACAAATTACAAATTGATCTTTAAAGTTCTTTGTTCAGCCCTGTGAGCTTCTCAGAGGCTAGTGGCTCTGATCTTTTTGTCCACTCGAATGTTTGCAGATGCTGAATGAGCGGCTGATGGGAGCTGAGGGAACCAAGCTGGACCAAGACTTCCTGCAGATGAAAAGGGTAAACAAAACAGAAACCACAGCAGAAACATTTTTCTAACTTTTACATTTCTAAGTACAAGTGTCAGTGCCTGAAAAAACTCATTGGAAAGCTTTGAATTTAACTTTGTGAACCATATCATCCCACTTTTAAATTGTACTAAATATAAAGAGTTTAACCAACCTAGAACCAGGTTTAGAGTTGACATGGTAGGATTATTAAAACATAGATAATATTGTCAATGTTGTTTTGAAGGCATGTATAATTGGAATGTCTGTTGTAAATAAGGCCAAAAAAGGACATAAAGTGATATTTCTGCACAGTTTTGAGGTCATTTAGTTTATTTCATTTTTATTTGACAGGGACCATGTGTAGGAGCATTAATCAAATAAACATTGAAGAGATGCTTTGTACCAGACTGTAGCTCATGGAACTAATTTCCATCTGTAGTCTCTGAGCCATGCAAAACACAGAATACACGCATAGCATAAAACCATGTAAACTATATACAAATAGTGATAAAAAGTACTATGACCCACCCACCCTGCTCCCTCCCTGTGCCCTTACTCAGGTTTAATTTAGTTGGCACTTAATGTTGGCACTTCTGTGTTGTTAAAACATATTTTCTTAAGTCAACACTGAACTTTTTGAAGTCTTTGCTTAGTTTTATGCATGAATTTTTCACGTTTGTCTGATGCTTAAACCTTTACTTTAGCATGTAACACAGTTCTGTTGGATTTGCCTTCTCTCATTAGAATGTTGCTGTTATTCACCACATGCTTCATGAGCTCCTGTCAAAAACCACAGACTTCCTCCAACCAAACCCAGGTAAAAACAACTAGATAATAATAAGCTTAATTCAAATGTATCGCTATTAAAAACAAGAAGAAAAAGTCTAGGCTTATAATTTCACAGCTCACATCTGTTTTGTATTTGTTTTGTATCATTGTTTTCCGCTCCTGTCCCAGCGCACAGAGCCAGACTGAGTGTCCTGAAGACCATGTCCAGGTTGCGGGGACAGGGGTCATCAGAGGGGTCGTACCCGCAGCCAGAGGGCATGCTGGGAGATTCCATGGTGCACTACGGCCATGAGCTCGGACCAGCCTCAGAATTTGGTAATTTTTGATAAAACTAAGAAATAATAAACTACTCTGTGTCCACTCAACAGTAGCACATGTTTGAAATATGTGTATAGCGTTACATTTTGTCAAAACTGTCAAAGGTTCAACATTTCTTATTACTTCTATTAATTCTGAATTACTTATGTTAATTCAAACTCACTTTCATTAGCTGTTGCCCCAAACTATATATGTATAACTATTCCAGAATAGTGTAGTTTGTTTATTTTATTTTATAGGGGCCATGTACAGATGAACAGTGAAGGGATGCTTTGTACCAGACTGACCAGTTCTCAGAGCTAATTTCCATCTGCAGCCCCAGAAATATACAAAACATTGAATACACAATTAAATATCATACAGCAATCTGTAATCTATACAAAAAGTCCAATTTGTCCTGTTTATGTTGATACTAACTCTAAGATCAGTTGTTATTATTATTGTTAGAGGTAGTAGTAGTTGTAGCTGTAGTTGTAGTAGTTGTAATTATAGTAGTAGTTGTAGTTGTAGTAGCAGTAGTTGTAGCAGTTGTTGTAGTAGTAGTTGTAGTAGCAGCTGTAGTTGTAGTAATAATAGTAGTACTAGTAGTAGTAGCAGTAGTAGTAGTAGTTGTTGTAGTAGTAGTTATAGTAGAAGTAGTAGTTCTAGTAGCAGTTGTAGTAGTACTAGTAGTAGTAGTTGTTCTGCTACTTGTAGTTGTTGTAGTAGCAGTTGTTGTAGTAGTAATAGTTGTTGTAGTTGTAGTAATAGTAGTGGTACTAGTACTAGTAGTAGTAGTAGTTGTAGTAATAGAAGTAGTAGTAGTTCTAGTTGCAGTTGTAGTAGTAGTAGCAGTAGTAGTAGTAGTAGTAGTAGTTATAGTTGTAGTAGCAGTTGTCGTAGCAGTTGTTGTAGTTGTATTAGTAATTGTTGTAATAGTTGTAGTACTAGTAGTAGTAGTAGTTGTTCTACTACTTGTAGTTATTGTAGTAGCAGTTGTTGTAGTAGTAGTAGTTGTTGTAGTTGTAGTGATAGTAGTCGTACTAGTAGTAGTAGTAGTAATAGAAGTAGTAGTAGTTGTAGTAGTAGTAGTAGTAGTAGTAGTAGTAGTAGTAGTAGTAGTAGTTGTAGTAGTTATAGTTGTCATAGCAGTTGTTGTAGTTGTATTAGTAATTGTTGTAATAGTTGTAGTACTAGTAGTAGTAGCAGTAGTAGTAGTAGTAGTAGTAGTAGCAGTAGTAGTAGTAGTTGTTGTAATTTGAAATAAGAGCTAAATGACATCAAATATGTGATATAAAATTTCAGTAGTTAATCTTTGAAAACAAATAGTTGAGCTGGAACAATTGGAGCATCTCTCTTCCATTGTTTGGTTACTGGAAGACTTCTAAGTGTGACATGTAAAAATAGCAAGAGGAAGGAAATCTATTGAATGACTTCACATGGATCTCCGGCACAAACAGACCCTGTGTCCTACTCCAGCAATATCACAGACTGTTACTGCGCCAAAGTTCTCCTGTCTCCTCCTCTCAATAAGGAGGTTGTGGGTTAGACTCCTGATCTCTCTTGAGTGTTTCCTCCCTGTGTTGCTGTGGCAGAGTGGTTATCCTGTCTCCTCCTCTGAGTAAGGAGGCTGGATTGACTTGATTCATACTTTGCAGTGACAGCACGCTGGGGGTGTTCTATATGCAGCTCTACTGGCAGCAATGTTCAGTTATCATGGAGATACAATGTACACAGAAAAGTTTTAAGACAGTCTGAAAAGTTAAGAACAAACACAAAATGGATTCAAAAACATTTTCAGGAGCCTGTGATCAATACAAGTGTTCATCTGGTCAGAACCTGCGTGAAGTTGCCCCCCATCAAACGCAAACCTACACAAAAACTATGTCTATTGTTTGTACTTCGTTTGTGCTGTTTTATTCTGCAAAAAGTTTCATTTGTGCTGCTTTAGTTTTGGAGATATAAAGATTTTTTTATAGGACAAATTGGGGTCAGCCAGCCCCCAGGAAGCTTCAAAATACTCTAAATGATGCCCGAAATGATGTCAGTTGTTACTGCTTCATTTGTGCTGTTTTGTGTTGCAAAAAGTTTGGTTTGTGTGATTATGGTTCTTAAGATATTAACAGTTTTATTTCGGGCTGATGACGTCATCCAGCCCCTCAAAATGTTAAACAGCCTCAAAACAGCAGAAAATTATACAAAATGTTTGTATTTTGTTTGTGCTGTTTTGTGCTGTAAAAATTTTCATTTGTTCAAGTATATTGCTAAAATTATTAATGTCATATACATCATTTCTGCTCAGCTGCAGCGGCTTTAGCAAAACTCCTCAAAACTAATGAAGAGAAACAATCTGAGGCTGTGGAAAAGTCTGTATCAGTCTTTAGTAACTTGCTTTTTTGATTCATATTTGATATAATAATACAGACTTTTACACTGTCTGAGATCATTTCTCTTCACTAGTTTTGTCGAGTTTTCCGCCGTCAGCTGAGCGTAAATTACATCATATAATTTACACAAAAATAATAATTTTAGTTTAGAAATCTGCTCGCTCAAATGAAAAATGTCACAGCACAAAACAGCACAAACGAAATAGAAACGTTTCATATAATTTTCTGCTATTTTGAGGTTATTTAACATTTTGAGGGGCTGGATGATGTCATCGGCCAAAAATAAAACCGCTAATATCTTAAGAACCAGAATTGTACAAACCAAACTTTTTGCAGCACAAACGAAACACGAACGAATGGCACCAGTTTGTCCTGTTTTAGAGCATTTTGAAGCTTCCTGGGGGCTGGCTGACCACAATTTGACCTATAAAAGAATCTTTTCTATCTCTAAAACTAAAGCAGCACAAACAAAACTTTTTGTAGCACAAATGATTGACATAGTTTTCGTGTAGGTTTGCGTTTGATGGGGGGGCAACTTCACGCAGGTCTGGTCAGATTGTGCAAAATTCAGATAAAACTCTAACTTGAGAAGCAGAGGTTCTAACAGAGTAGTGCTTCCAGTTAGCTTCACACTCCCAGAGAATATTAATGACATCAGCTTCAAAGTGTCATCATCATCTGAATATTGTTATCAAAATTTGGTCAGTATCACACACCTCTGTTTTTCTTATGTTTTCTGATTGATTATTTTTTGATTACTTTGATTTTCCAGGTGGAGCTTTGACTGGTGTGGGTGAAGCTTTACAGCAGATTGGAAAAGCCAAAGAGGATCTGGACACAAACGTCAAATGTACTTTTATAGACCCTCTGCAGCATCTCCACAACACTGAGATTAAAGGGATCAAGGTAAGACAAATTTGATTCACTGTCCAGCCCTCGTTGAACACATCCCTTCGTCTCATGTGTCCGGTCTCCTCATAACAACAGATGAAATAATATGGAACACACTTTGACTGTCTTAATTAACTGACAACTAAAAGTAAAAAGGTGTTCATACTTACTAAGCCCTCACCTCTGCCTCTGATCAAACCATTAAAACCAGTTAGAGCTGCTGAGGTCACCCTCTGGTGAAATAGTTTAACATAAATCCAAATGTTTTCATCTATTTGTGAATGAGACGCAGTATTGATCTTTAAAGTGCAGCATCCTCCACACTGTTTAGCTCCTTGAATGAGACCGCTGATGCGCGATGTGAAAAAGAAAATAAAACAAGACTTTAAAAGAGGTTAAAGATCAACTATTGAAGACTCACTCACTCTGTTTGAACTTAAAGGAAAAATAAATTCTTAAGGTTATAAAATGAACAACTTAGGTAAATAGGTATTAGTTCATTATTGCTGAAATATAATTTAGTTTATTTTTTGTCAATTTTTGTGTTTTACCCAATAATAGGGGTGTGCAAAAATATTGAAATATTGCTATATTTTATCATTTAATTTCATGATACTGTATTAATATCGTGGGCTGCTGTATTGATGTATCATCAAGGGTGGTTTTTTTGGTATATTTTACAAAATTATTTTGTGTTGCATGTTTGGAGAAAGGACATTTGTTTATGCAGTACAGTAGACATACTCACTGTTTTGAGTAAAATGGACATTTTTCATATTAACTTTGCACAAATTAGTGGTTTAATAAAAACTTTTAATATCATGGCAATGATATAATGTAACCTTTATTTTTTGTACTGAACAATATCAAATCTATTTGAAATATATCATATTGAATTGTATTGAATCGAAAGTGCACTATATCGAAAAACATATTGTATCGTGGCCTATGTATCGAGATATGTATCGTATTGAGCAGCTTCTCAATGATACCCGACCCTACCCAGTAACCAAGTTATTCATTTAGCCCTTATTGTGAGGCAATTTAAGGACAATATGTAATGATTAGCACGCCCAATTCATGTTCTGGTGCAGCCAAATGAAAATGTCAGTCACACTGGTGCACTCATCTCAAACTGTCTGGAGTCTGGAGCTCTGCGTGTAAGCATAATGCACACTCTCATTTCCTTATGAACTACATCCTCTTTGACATGTGATGCTAACTTGAGTCTTGGGATGTCAATAAATGTGACATTTTTGAGGCAAAAATAAGTACTTTGAGTTCAATGTACACTTAAAAAATATTTATTATGTCACACTAATACATAACAGTCAGATGTTAGAAGTTCATGTGTTGGATCATGTGAATGAAGCATTTCACTGTTGTTTTGCCTTTCTGCCTTTATGCTCCCTTACAATACACACACACACACACACACACAAATCTGATATTGTGACATCCCTCCTGGAGTCAAGCACTGGAAAACTTTTATTCTTTGTACATTACATGTATTAGAAGTAGAACGGAGCAACTGATCAACACTGAGCTTCAGTCATTTCTCATGGTCAGTGATCAGCTGGGCTCTTTTTAATTGAGGCGTCTACAGCCAATCCTCTGTCAGTAAAAGCATGTGTTCTTTGACGGAAGAAATCTTTTTCTATATAAATGTCAATAATTAAAACTTTGTATTATCCAGAAGTCAATACTGAAAGCTATTTTTATTTAGTTTTTGATGTAATTGAATAAAAATAATCTAAAAAAGCTAAGTTATATTTGCAGTGTTGAATGTGGTGTGTCCTTGTTTCCTCAGTACCAGTTGAAGAAAGTGAACGGCCGACGGTTGGACTTTGACTACAGGAGGAGGAGGAGGGGGAAGAGCTCCTCAGAGAAACTGCACACAGCCTGGGACAAGTTCCAGTCGTCTAAAGAGCTCGCAGAGAGGAGCATGTTCCTGCTGCTGCAGAACGACGTGAGTGGACGTCAACATGAGTTTATTCAGCGATAATAGTGATTTTTGTCACACTATAATCTGAGTACAAACTGCTTCTTTATACACTAAATATATGTGATGATCATGAGCTGATTTCTGGTGCTTTAAGATGATTGAAATGAAATGAAACATGAGCAATTGCATCTGATGTCCACATGTGCAGGTTTGATATGGACAATTCTGCAAAAAAAGGAGCAAACTAGGAGCAAAGACAAAAAAGATGAATTGTTAATGACTGAAATGTATTTTTAACTTCATTGTACTTTATCTTCCAAATACAACAGTTACAAAAAAAACCATGTCACCAGGTGTTTCTGTTGCTCCTCTAGCTCCTGCACTGAGCCAACAAAACAAATCTATATGGCTCTATTAGTTTGTTATGTTCCTGACTCCTCTCCTGTGTGTGTCTCTCTGTCGACGGCTGCAGGTGGATCACTTGAATAACCTGTCAGCTCTGGTCACGTCTCTGTTGGACTTTCACAGAAACTCACAACACATTCTGCAGGACCTCCAGTCAAACCTCCAGTCCAGGTGAGTCAGCTGTAAACTCATATATTAGGAACCAAATCAAAGCAAAAGAAAGATTGTAAAATATATAACATATCATATTTTACATAACATTCTCTTGATGTGTTCATTAAGCACACTGGTATCCCCCTGGATGCATCTTTGGGCAAATGACCACAAGTCATAAAACATAGGACCAACTTTGGGGTTGTATTCATTGTCCATAGACATTTTGGAGATGTGTAGGAGTGTAAAACTAAAGTGATTATGCAATACAAGACAGAATGCACTTGAGTCTGGTCACTGGTGAATCTCTCAGTTTTAGGCGTGATTAACTAGCCTGATTCATCAGCTGGTTTCACTTCATAGAAACAGTCTGACCTTGCAACATCAGGATTCATTTGCTCGACAGGAGATGGGTACTTTTTATCATTTAACCAATCACTGCTATTTGGTCATGATGTATGTAATGCACTGGTATATTAAGCTTTTCCCAAATCCCGTAGGAAAAAGGGTGATAACGTCTTTCCTCTTGATAAAATTCACCAAACATTCTCTTTGTTCTGGCTTTAAATCCTCAAGCTCGGGAATCGTTGCCAACACAGAATGTATGACTCTTCGCTGATTGACTGGTGCCTGAACTCGCACATCCGGAGTTTTTGTGAACCGTCTAGTGCAGGAGTGCTCACACTTTTTCAGCATGCGAGCTACTTACAAAATGACCAAGTCATAATGATCTACCTAATACAAAGCCAAGCAAACTGCACTGAAACACTCTGTGCCCCTCTGTGACCCTCCCCCACAGTTTGAGAACCTCTTCTTTAAGAGAACTTCCTCTGGGACTTTACACAAAACTGTGAAAAAAGTGAAGGAAGATTTTTAAACCTGTTTTTTAAAGTTCCAAACTGGAGTTTCATTCTTTTCTGGTTTTGCAGTGATATTTACCAGCCTCTGCACATTTACCAAACCAAACGCACATCGTGACAAACACAGATGCATTTGTGCACTTTTGTTAGACAAACTTCAGCCAAATGTGGCAGTAGGTCTGTTCTGTAGATCCGCTCTATGCTGTAGACCTGCTTTGTGCCAACACTGGAACACAAATTTAGACTCGTTTTTGCTTCACGTTTGGTCTTGCTCTTCTAATCAGCCGCACTGTGGGAGGGGCTTGTGTTCGCTGTACGCAGGAAGGAGCGAGAGCGTGAAAAGGCGAGGGGCGGCGTGCTGACGTGAGGCAGATGGACAGGTAGGATGTTTAGGAAGTTGAACCTGCCCTGTGATGCACGCTGGTACACGAGGGCACACGCTGTTGCAGACGAGCCGTGCATAGGGAGCGTGTGTGTTTGTGATGTGCCGTAGAGTCTCCGCGGGTTTCAAATGAGCGCACAGGCTGCACTGAGACGCCCCACACGCTCCTGCACCCCGCTACAAGTTTATTACCAACAGCAGCGGCCGTAATGAAATATGATCACACTTGTTGAGTGTCAGACCTTGAGTGAGAGACAAGACCGAGTCCAAACGCGAGTCCGAGACGAGACACGGCGATCTACCCACACGACCTTGGCGATCGACTGGTAGATCGCGATCGACGTATTGAGCACCACTGCTCTAGTATTCTGATTCCTGACCTAGTCGCTGGAGAGGAATGAAATTGAGTGGAGGCACTAGGTGGCTCCAGCCAGGTTAGTGATTGACAGGTGAATTAGTCAAAAAGGGACATGCATTGTCCATCCATACCGGAAGAATAAAAGAAAAAAAGGAATTAAACATGTCAGATTTCTGCAGAATGAGCAAAGCACTAAATTGTTAATCAGAGGAGAGAGAAATGTGATTTTATTTGAAAAAACAAAATCTAATGGCACAATCACATTTGACCAGGCTCCAGACACGACAGAGGGTGTGGGGACCTGACTGATACCAATCTGTATAAAAAATACAGAAAAGGATCATTATGGATTTGACAGGCAAATTTTGACTTAAAATTACAGGGAGCTCAAAACTGACTATTATGATCTGTTTTCTAGACTGACCTCAGCGAGTAACCAAACAGAGAGGAGGTACCGGCCCCGAAAGTCCAGGAGCCGCTCACAGAACAGCTTCAGGTTTTACCAGCAGCCCTCCATCACCTCCACCGTATCCTCAGGTAACACTGGACTCTTTACAAGATCAGGCAAATTAAGCAGACTTTAACAGTATAACAGTATTTATAGATAGAAAACTTGGTAAACCTTTTGAACTTGTTCTGTTTGAATGAATTCTAATATGCCACTTGTTTGTACGGAGCAGATCAGGTGATTGAGATCGCGTCCAGACCTGGCAGCCCCATCACATGTTACGGTAAGAATGAAACTCCCTCTACATTAAAATGTGTCATAATCATTGAAATAAGACTTATAGGTGCACTGTGTAACTTTTCTAGTGGAGGATACACCACATATGTTTACTTAGAGATTATATTAGTTTGCCTGGATTGCAGAATATGTCAATAAACATCAAGCAAGCATCTGTTGAAATACAAGCCAAGTGTTTTTAAATGTCCATTCTTATCCTGACTTTTAAAAACAGATCGGACTTGTAACTTGGCCTGGTAGCTCTACCTGACTCTTGGCAAAGCAGCAACATCTTTATGGAGAAAAGCTGGTGATGTACCGTCCACCAGAAAAGTTATACAGTGAACCTTTAAGTTTACATCAAGTTTACGTAGTCGACATCAGCATGTTAGCACTAAACATTATAAGCATGTTAGGGTCTTTTCTTTGTTTTGGACACAGAGTTCAAATCTTTTCAATCTTTCCAAAAGTGTCTCCTCTGACATTGAAAAGTTAAGGACGGTATGGTGTTTTGAGAGAAAGTTAAAGTAAAACTTAGGGGTGGGACTTGTTTAAAAATTGGCTTTGTGATTAATACATCTCAGTTTATCCCATAACAATATTTGATCCAAAAGCAACATTTATTTTATGTTGATTCATTTTAATGGATGACTTCATCAAATAAAACACACAGAACTTTTAAACTCAAACTCCAAGTCTGGAGAAATGTCTTGAAAAAATAAATTACATTTCATTTCAAAGTAGCAGACAACTCATTACTCATTTTCTTCCTGAAGCCAGTCATGTGTTGGAGTTTGGGCAGACACCTCTTGTTTATACTCAGACCAGAACTGCTCCTGCCAACAGCTCCAGTAGTTTCTGTGCTGCTGTCACATGTTTTCATTAAATGGTGTTGTAGGGTTGAGGTGCTTCTGTGATATGATACTCTTGTCTACTCATTTTGCAATAAACACCGCCTTTGGCAATACTTCCATTAGGTTGTTTTTTTAATAGAAATGTACCGTCCAGTAGACCCAGAGCATTTTCATGCTTCACTGTTGTTGTAGTCAGAACTGTGTGTGTCAGTGTAATTGTCGTACCATGACATGGTGCACTGATAAACGTTCTGTGTTGTTTGGCAAACTGTGGTATTATGCGTCAATATTTTTTATGCATTATTTTCTTTGTAATTACTGAATCATAATGAACATGTTAATGCCACACCCCTAGTAAAAATACTACACTACCATATATTCACTGTCCCTTCATATTCATATATTTAGGGGTGTGCAAAAATATCAATATATCATATTGTTTAATGTGATGATACAGTATCAATATCGGGGACTGCTGTATTGATATATCGCCAAGAGTATTATTTGGTATATTTGTTTATATTTACTAAATTATTTTGTTACAGCTACAGTTTTGTTGTTTGTTTAGCGGAAGTGAACTCGTTTATGCGACACATTTGACATTTTCACAGTTTTGATGATTAAAATGTTTGTGTTTCATATGAACTTTGCACAAGAAGTGGTTTAACAAAGATTTTTACTATCACAGCCACAATATAGCCATTATTTTTTATTAACCCGTATCGAATCGATTTGAAATATATCGTATCGAACCGAAAGCTCACTGTTTCGAGATATGTATCATATCGTGGCCTTGTATCAAGGTATATGTCATATTGGCAACTTCTTAATGATACCCAGCCCTAATTATTTTCACTCATATATTAATTCTCTTCCTCTGTTCAGCTGACAGCGTCGTGCCTCTGGACCAGCCCTGCTGCAGAGCGCTGTACTCCTTTAAATCTGAGCGAAACGAAGAGCTGAACTTTGACCCCGGTGACATCATCATCCTCACAAACCGCGTCGACGAAAACTGGTTTGAAGGATCCATCGGGAGCCGGTCCGGACTGTTTCCCGCCAACTACGTGGACGTCCTGGTGCCACTGCCCTCACAGTAAAAGCACCAAACACAAAACATCAGCCATGAGTCTGTTCACACTGGATATGCAACATTTAGCTTCTCATTTGCACTTTGGAATTGCCTGGGATCCTGAATACACACAATACTTTACAAAGATGTTAGTCTGGTCACCTGTGAATCTCCTTGACTGACAGGTGGATTCGCCGAACAGGGACATGCATGATTTGCCCGCATCCAAACAAGTATGGCTGCTTATGAGGAAAAAAGAATGAAAAAAATATCACAGAGGACTAACAAACATTGCAGATTTGTGCAGAGTCAACGAGAAAAGCACTAAACTCTGTTAATATGAGGCATGAATCTATAATAAGAACTGGATAAGACGCTCCCCCTCTGTTCGCAAACGAGATGGAATAGTGGCATCCACAACTTTCACAAAGGGATGATTTTGAAAGGATTCTTCTGTATTTTTACAATACGAACTTCAAATCCTAAAAGTTAACTGTGTTAGCCTAGCCCTGCTCTGAGCCCGCATTAACTCCACTCCATAGATAATGAACGGAGATCTCACATTGACGACCGTGTCTATTGGCACAAATGAGTCAACAAAGCCGTCATCTTGGTACAGATACCCCCCCCCCCCCTTTATTCCTTGAATAAATGTATTCCTTGACATTCAAGGAATACATTACAAAAAAAAACAAGTAAATCTTGAGGTTTTTCTTTCAGTTACTTAACTCAAGACCTCGCTCAATTAATATGAATTGTTCTTATTAGTATTAAACTTTTTTTTTGGTTAAACATTAAATATTATAACGTAACAATTATATAATAATGCAAATTAAATACATAAAATGCTATATAAACCTAAGAAATGACTAAAGGTACAACGAGGCGACTAAATGAAATACTGAAACAGAATTAGCCTATTTGGTGCTGGTTCAGTCCTGGTTCAGCTCTGGTTCAGTTCTGTTTTAGTCCTGGTTTAGACTTAGTTTAGTCCTGGTTCAGTCCTGGTTTAGACCCGGTTTAGATCCTGGTTCAGCTCGGGTTCAGTTCTGGTTTAGTCTTGATTTAGTCCTGGTTTAGACCTGGTTTAGTCCTGGTTCAGTCCTGGTTCAGCTCTGGTTCAGTTCTTTTTTAGTCCTGTTTAGACCTGGTTTAGTCCTGGTTAAGTCCTGGTTTAGACCTTCTTTAGTCCTGGTTCAGTCCTCCTGGTTCAGTCCTGGTTCAGTCCTGGTTAAGTCCTGGTTTAGACCTTCTTTAGTCCTGGTTCAGTCCTGGTTTTGTCCTCCTGGTTCAGTCCTGGTTCAGTCCTGGTTTTGTCCTCCTGGTTCAGTCCTGGTTCAGTCCTGGTTCAGTCCTGAGTTTAGTCCTGGTTCAGCATCTTCACTCGCTGATACTGTGAAAAACCTTTGGTTAAATGACGTTCAGTGACTTTAGATCATGGAACCCTGTACCAAGATGGCGTGGTATTACCGCACGCCAAGCGGCTGAACGTGAGATCTGCCGTTCTACATCTATGGCTCCGCTCTAGCAGCTGGCGCTCTGATTGGTCAGAACTGCACGTTTCTGACATCACACATTTGGTGGTGTAAGGCAGTATTCAGGAAGTAATGTGGAAGTAAAAATCTTTTTTGCAGCCAATAAGCACAGGCCATTGAAAACAATATTTCGCCATCACAGATTCATCTTCCAGATCTTGTTATACTTCCATGACCTGAGATGAGAGAAATGGGATTTGTTCAGAATGGTTCCTTCGCACGAGGAATCCAGGGAGAGGAGCTGGCTATGACGCTCAGCTAATAGGGATCCTAATAATAATAACTGAAAAAAACAAAACAAATGTGATTGCACAAACATGGAGGGAGTGGGGACCAGACTGATATCCATGTGTATAAAAAGTACAGAGATCATTGTGGACTTGTCAGGCAAACTTTATAACACAATATTCTACAGTGAAGTTTGAGCCATAGTTTGAGTAACTTTAGAGCACTTTAGTTGCTGGAAAGTCATATGGACAAATCAGGAGTTTGTAAATACGTTTTTGGGAGGTTGTTTTCAGGCAAAGCACACGTACAACAAAGCAAATGTATTATTAGCTGAAAAAAATGATATTTTAATGGTTTAATGGTGCCACACGATGATCCACTGTGTGTGAAAGCAGTGAAGTGTCGTCTGCAGGTCGTCGAGCTGGAGTTTATCAAAACAAAGCTACAAAAATGTGATTTTAAGGAGTTGTCTAGTGACTACAGTAGTGGTTTAGTAATAGATTTATTGATAAAAGATGCATTTCTGTAGACTCGAGCTTCTAAAAATAGTACTGAGATGCTTCCAACCAAAAAGATGAAAAAAGTTATATATTCTACAGACAAACCAGAATTTCACTTTTGTTTTGCTTGACACAGCAAGTAGAGTTGTTAAAAAAGTCAGTAATCAGATAGCAGTCAATCCTAAAACTAGTGTGTAAACTAGATACTCGTCTGAACAAGTGTCGATACTGAAAGTGAAATCACAGAAATGGGTCAATAGCTCAGTGATGAGAAGGGTTGAAAAGAGTGTAACTGTAGCAATGACTCTATGACAATGACTAATAATACAGAAAATCAGATACTAATCAAAACTAAAACTAGTATTAAAACTAGATACTCATTTTAGAAAGTATCGATACAAAAAAGTGGAACCTACCTGAACCACTGAGGCATTACACAGATATAAGAGCACATGGGAATAGAAAAGAACAGGGGGTGGGCAATTCTTTTTTCCATGGGGCCACATGAGAAACAGAAAATATTGCGGAAGACTCAGTTCTGCATAATATTAATTGTATTTCTTTATAAAAAAAAACAGTAAATAGTGTTATTCTGACAAGCTGGTCAGACTGCTGCTAGTTTCCCCCTTGTGTCAGCATACACCATGTAAAGTTTTAGGATTATTTGACCATTTATGCAGTTGCAGTACCTTAATATTTACAGTTATATAATTTCACCAATAGTTTTTCCTAAATAGGGTGTTTTTGGGCCCTGAGACAAAACGGGGCCGAGTTGAGGTTGGTCCCTAACAACTTGTGATGGCCCAAGATACAAGATAAATAATAGTCAAAAAAGGTAGCAAAAAACATCCTGAGGAGAGGACCTGACTCCCGGCCTATAAGCAATGAAAAAGTGAGGCTGCCTTACAAAAAATGTCACACCTCTTAAATAAAAGCAATGTAGCTTTAGTCTATGCATGAGGTCAAATGATAAAATATGTTTACTTTGGGATTCCAAATTATCTTAATCAGGCCGGAGCTGGACAATGCCCAGGTTTGGAAAAGAAAGTACTATTATTTAAAGTTGAAAATCACATTGAGTATTGAATCTATTCCTTAGTATCGAAATCGAGTTTGAAATCTTAGTATGGTGACAACAATAACAAATCAAGCATTATTTAAGAAGTGAGTTTTCTTACTTTAATCCATCAATCTGCACAAATGAAATAAATGATGTCATGAAGTGTTTCAGATTGTAGTGGCACACGGGGCTCATTTCTACTCTAGATACAAATATAATTCTAGATGCACAGCTGTACTGAAGAGTGCTTTTGCTGAAGTATTGTAGGCACATAAGCTTTGAGAGTCTCAGGTTAGATAGAACTAAATAACTGAATATCATGATTGTATTCTGCCTCTGAGCTGCATGAAACTACACTAATGTGAAGTTCTTTTAAAGCATTGTAAAGCTGTAACATACAAACTGTTTCATATAAGGCTGTGGTCCCCAAACTTGCTGAATCTGGACTAGCACTGAAACAAACTGTGAATAAAATGTGTAACTAAACCCTGGACTAGATCAGGACTAAACCAAGACCAAAACACAGGGGTCTACTGAGCGTGGCACATCCTGGTTTAGTCCTGATTCAGTTTTAGTTTAGACCTGGTTTAGACCTGGTTTGGACCTGGTTTAGTCCTGATTTAGTCCTGTTTTAGTCCTCCTGGTTCATTTCTGGTTTAGTCCTGGTTTAGTTCTGTTTTAGTCCTGGTTTAGTCCTCCTGGTTCAATCCTGGTTTAGTTCTGGTTTAGACCTGGTTTAGTCCTGGTTTAGTCCTCCTCATTCAGTCCTGGTTCAGTTCTGGTTTAGACCTGGTTTAGTCCTGTTTTAGTCCTCCTGGTTCAGTCCTGCTTCAGTTCTGGTTTAGTTCTGGGTTAGACCTGGTTTAGACCTGTTTTAGTCTGTTTTAGCCCTGGTTTAGTCCTTCTCGTTCGGTCCTGGTTCAGTCCTGGTTTAGTTCTCATTTAGACCTGGTTTAGTCCTGTTTTAGTCCTGGTTTAGTCCTCCTGGTTCAGTCCTGCTTCAGTTCTGGTTTAGTTTTGGTTTAGACCTGGTTTAGTCCTGGCTTAGTCCTGTTTTAGTCCTGGTTTAGTCCTGGCTGGGCAGGATTCATCACATCGATGACGTCAAGAATGGCGTACCCCCACTTAAAAAATCCCCACTCCATCACTGCCTAAACAGGTTTACTACAAAGCCAGGATTAAACCAGGACAAGTGACTAGATCAGATCAAAATGAAGTCTTGAGTGGGAGGTTTTTCATTTCACACTTGCATGAGCACGACTTCAAAACTGAGACTAAACTCAGAACTAAACCTGGACTAAACCAAGACTGAAACTGAACAACAAGTCTACATCAGGACTAAACTGGGCTCAAAACAAAACGCATCTGGTCACAGTTTAGTCCTGCTTTAGTTTCATCAAATCCAGAGTTAGTTTTAGGTTTAGTCCCAATTAGTGGACATACAACTATGGAACCTACCTGGACCACTGAGGGATTACACAGATATAAGGCCACATGGGAATAGAAAAGACACACAACCACTATTCACATCTTAATTTAAACTTGACTAAAAAGGTTTAAAATAGTCCATAATTTATACAACAAAACAAAAATAAAAAAATGTCAACAACTGTTCCCCAATACCATTACTGTTGGATCCAGATTGTGTTCCACAGTTTGGGAATCACAGTATTATTGTAAATGAAGCCTAAATGACTGTTCCTCTGAATGTGCCCCTTTAAAACTCTGAACTAAGGCCTTGTGTTTTATTTTGAAAATCGTGTGTGGTTTCCTTTTTACACAAGTCAATGTAAATGAATGTTTCCCATTTTATACTTAGATTACACATACTTTCTATGTTCACTGGACCTAAAACGCACTTCTGATGTTACTGTCAATTGTGTTTAAATCATTATAATTTTAACCATAGACTGTATATATAAATGGACATAGTGTGAGCATGGCTGCACTTCTGACTCCATTGGCTCGAATTTATTTTGTATTGAAAAAATGTCACTCCTCTCCGTCTGTCAGGCTCCTCATTTTGGTCTTAAAATGCCTGTATTAACCCACTTTCTTGGTGCTTTTTTTGGATATTTTGTTCATGAATCAATTTCTTTTCCTAATATGGAGCTCCAAATTCACTCCATAACTGCTCCGGGCGACGTCACACTCCCTTATTCCACTTCTTTATACAGTCTATGGTGGTAATAAGCTACGCCCTGAGGAACATCAGATTTGAAATTCTGATTTCTTTGGTGTAATTGTAAGGAAAGTAAAGCTGCTGTTTGCAATGACAGTTGAGGTGACAAAAAGTAAACAGAACATTTGTTGAGTCGTGACAATTCCCATTTCAAAGCTGAAGTCAATATAACTAAAAATTTGATTCCTGAACTTGTTATAAACAGCCTGTTAAGAATGTTACAAATTAGGTCTTTTTTAAAACTTGTGTTTTGTTTACACACTAATATTGATTCCAGAATGGTTGATTTGACCATCTATGAGTTTCAGAATGATGAAAAAATGTGGACTGTTGCCATAGTTATTGACAATTTAATTAACAGTTGACCAAATAATATACGTTGAGTTTTTACTGGTTCATTTTTAGTAATAATAATAATAATAATAATAGTAATACATTTTATTTATATTGCACTTATCTCAAAAGTGCTAGAGGTAAAAAAAAAAAAAAGTGAATAAAAGTGCATCAAACTAAAACTATTACAACATAGAACCAATAAAATACGTCTAACAAAAGGCTTTGGTAAAAAAAAGATATGTATTAAGATTTCGTTTAAGTAATAGTAGTGAAAACATAATTTGGCGACATCTAGTGCTGAGTATTGGGAGTAACATGGGTTCTTCAACTTACAATTTTATTTTTCTAAATGACAGAAAGCTCAAAAATACTGTAGTATTATGCTGGTGGTGGCAAATACAGGTGAATAGTGACCAAGTATAATTACTCACGTGAATATTGTACATTTTGGGAGAATATATGCATTGTTTTGTAGAATATTACAAAAATCATGTAACTTTCCCTTTTACAGAAATCGGTGTAAATGAATGTGACACAATTTGTAATATCTTTGTTTTTTAATTTTGTATTATACTTTATATGTATATTTTTATTTCTGTGCTCACTGGACCTATGAAATATGAAGCACTGGGGAGTCTTACCTTTTATATTCACACTGTAACATCATTTTAAGGTAATAATACTTTGGCTAACATTAACAATATTAGTGTTATGATCATGGTTTATGTACAGCATTTGTGTTGAATCAGTTGTTTATAAAATCATGTTTTATTTTCTACATTTTCCTTTTTATATGTTTTGGAAATGATTGTACAAATAAAAATGTTTAGTGCAAAGATTCCATAAGCAATAAATGTTCAAAATCAGAAGGGTGCCTGCTCCTACATTTGTATGGTTTGCCTGATTGAGAATTGATCTGAAGACAGATGTATTTATATTTTTTATTAAATGCACCTCTAGAATTTGATAGCATGATCTTAAACTTAGACAAACTTAATTGATCCACAGGGGAAATTATTTTCCCATTTGGAACTGAAATACATGATTTTAAGTGCTGAAACTTCTGGGAAAAACAATGAAAAGTGTATTCAAACTCAGACAGACTTAACTGATCCACAAGGGAAATTACTTGGACACAATAACTCACACATCACATTATATTACAATAACACAGAGTAAAACTAAAAATTAAATGGAAATAAACTTCTAAATAAGTAGCAATAAAACAATAGCAAGAGATTAGTATCAATAACAGACTTAGACTTGCACTTAGACAAATTTTAATCCGCAAGGGAAATTATTTGCATACAGGAGCTCACACATCACAATATAATATAATAACAAAGAGTAAAAAATATTAATGGTAATACTAAATTCTAAATAAGTAGCAAAAAAAGACAGCAAGAGACAGGGGTAAAATAAAACAAATGATATGCATGTATGTACAGTAAGTAAAAAAGTATGGTAAGTAAAAATATTATGTTACAAAGATTAGATGGAAGTCAGTAAATCAGTAAAATCAGTAAATAAAAAATAAAACCCTCACAAAAAGTCATAATTATGAGTTTTAAATTCAAAATTAGTCATAATTATGACTTCCATCTGTCCCTCCAACCACCACCACCACTCACACACACACCACTTTCATACTAGGCAATGTGGGCAAAGTGTCTTGCCTAAGGACACATCAACAGTTTTTTTTTTGCAACTGGCACCCCCCTGTGGTACCTGAATTTCCCAGTGGTCTCCCATCCAAGCACTAACCAGACCTGGTCTTGCTTAGCATTTGACATCTGACAGGATCTGGCTTTGACAAGCCGGTATGGCCACCAGACCTGGTTCAGCCATGGTTTAGTTCTGGGTCAGACCTGGTTTAGCCTGGGTGTACTTCTGGTTTGATGTGTTTCAGTCCTGCTTTAGTTCTGAAATAGGCCTGGTTTAGTTCTGGATAAGCCCTGGTTTAGTCCTGGTTTAGTTCAAAGTAAGACCTAGTTTAGTCTTGTTTTAGTTCTGGGTTAGACCTAGTTTAGTCATGGTTTAGTTCTGGGTTAGACCAGGTTTACTCCTGATGTCCTGTTTGACTAACAATTTATTACTACTCTGTTTACATCTCCAAAACTCAAAATGCTCTGTTCCACCTTATGGAACCGCTTCATACCTGATGTTATGAAGCGGTAGTTTTCAAGTTAACAGCTACCTTTTTTTTTTCTTTTTTTCTACCTTTTGTTCAGTAGAGATCCAGATTAGAGATTGAGATTCCAGGACCAAAATTATCCAAAATTTTTCTAATGAAGGTATGGAGTTTAAAAGCACAGTGGAGCACTTCCTGTATTACCACGACATCACAAGGTGGAACAGAGTTTGAGAGAAGAACTAAGAAACCTTAATATGAAGTATTTGTGCCTTAAAAGTGTGAATGAAACTAAACATAGCTCCAGGTATAAAAATAACAAAATTGGAGTGCTACACTGGATCAAAGAAAATTAGGCATAACAGGTGCTCATCATACCGGAGGGCTAGATTCACGTAAAATAGAAAAATGATGGCAGAGGCTCTGATTTGCGGTGAATTTATTAAAAGTCACGCCAATGCGTTTCGACTACTTGGTCTTCATCAGGGCTAATTGAATCAACAGCAGGTGTGACCATTTATAAAGGGTTGCGAACCCAGAACCCAGAAAAAAAAAAAATATATATATATATATATATATAAAAAATAATAATTTTCAAAACTTTTACATGTTGAATCCAAGTATATTGACAACATACCATTCATAACACAACAGGTAAATCACACTGTTCTGTAAAGATTGGAGTATAGTCAACGATACATAATCCCTCAAGTTGCATAGTGCACTTCAAAAATGTTTTCAATAAATCATGAAGAAAACACCAGTGATTTCAAGACAAAAGTAATGGAAATACCTGGGTATTTAATGGCCAATTGTCAAGAGGGAAGAGGGGGGGGGTTAACCAATCCCCTCTTGCACTATGCAATTTGAGGGATTATGTATCGTTGACTATACTCCAATCTTTACAGAACAGTGTGATTTACCTGTTGTGTTATGAATGGTATGTTGTCAATATACTTGGATTCAACATGTAAAAGTTTTGAATTATAATATTTATATATATATATATATATATATATATATAAGTATCACGTGTTCTGGGTTCGCAACCCTTTATAAATGGTCACACCTGCTGTTGATTCAATTAGCCCTGATGAAGACCAAGTAGTCGAAACGTGTTTGACTTTTAATAAATTCACCGCAAATCAGAGCCTCTGCTATCATTTTTCTATAGCTCCAGGTATATTACAGTTTTTCTGGTTTGGCTCATTTCTTGAAACAGAAATGACATTCTCAAAACAACATGGACAAATCTCTAAACCACCTTGCAGTCGTTCACAACAGAATGGCATTTCTCACAGATTTCATCAAATTGCAAATGTCTTAGTGCATGTCTCGAGTGTCTCAGTGCATCTTTGTACATGGTTCTATACAAGTCATCTACAGTTCACACAATGAGCCCATGTTTAGCACATTTTCCAAATAAATAGATCTTGCTGATCTAAACTGAAGAGTTGATTCTCAGTCTAATGCTTGTTCTCTCTGAAACATGTCAGCATGATTTCATTGTCTGAGTCATCATATGCACAATAGTCTGTTCAAGTGTCAAAATTAGTCAAGAACATGATACCATGAACACCATATGATTTTTTTGGGAACATTTAATAAATTCATGACAGTAATTGTCAGCCAGATGAAGTTAGAACTTCCTATCACACTATGTGATCGTGTGGGACAATGTGAATTTCCACAGTGGCTCATCAGGCCCGGTTCACTTCCATCTAAAGATGCCCATGGAGCTACTACCAATGTACTCTCCTTTCCGCTTGGAGGTGGAGAGTGTATAAACATTGGGCTACAGACCAAAGGTTCCTGCTCCATGTGACGGATGCTGCGTGTGAGGACATCACAGGGGAGGGGATGGTTGAGACATTTGTGCCGAAGAAACGACAACAGCGACCAGTGAAAGTGTTACTGTAGAAATTGTATTTGCTTTATTTACAGCACTGTAGGCTGGATATAATTTTTCTTTTTGTGTGTGTGTTTATATTTGGTACATGTGCAGAACACTGTATACATTTTCTTTTTATGCACTCTAATGTGTGGAAGTGAATTTATGTGTGTGAATAAAATGGTTAGTTTCGTTGGCAGTGTGAGAGCAGTGTGTGATGTCAGACTTTGGAGGCTCTTACTGTGAAATCCTTTTTTTCAGTTTTATCCATAATTGTATTGTGTTAGTTTGACCTCTGCCAAAGTGACAAAACATCTAAGCATGCAGTGCTGCAGTGCTCACAGAAGGCCAAAGGGACAATGCATTTTGGGGGCAATGACTCTTTCTATGAGGAAGAAATTTAGTTTGACACATGTGTTTTGGGAGAGATCTGAGCTTTTGCAGGTGATCCATGGTGTTGTGTTGAACCATCCAGGTTATTTTTGAGAAAAGCACTAAGTGAATGCAAAAGAGTCAAAGCAATTGAGAAGGATCTTTGCACATATGATGGCACTGACTCTTTATTTGGGAAAAGAATCTGCTTTGAAGCATGTGTGAACAGTTTTGGGAGTGATCTGAGCTTTTGCTGCTGAGCTGTAATGTTGCGCAGAACTATCAAACTGTTTGACCAAATGATTTTATAGTTTTAAGAATGTCATTTCTGTTTCAAGAAATGAGCCAAACCAACGGAGAAAAACTGTATTATATATCCAGAGATATTTTTAGTATTGATGAGTATCTGGTTTCGATACTAATTCTGGTATCGATTATTATCCGATTTTTGATATTTTTAACAACCCCAATGCAAAGTATGATGGTCTATCTACAGCACCAGGGAGAACTCCAACAGTGAACATGAGATACAGTAATGTTGCCCTTCAATGAAAATCCATGAAAAAATGCTAATTTGCTTAACTGTGACATTCTTTATTAAAATCTAATGGCTCAACATGTAAAAGAATAACTATCCATTCCTCATCTTATTGTGTCATGCTGGGCTAAAAATGCAATAGCATAAAATTAAGCCCCCACAGGCTGAGTTCATGTGGTTAATATTCTCTTTTGATAATTGTATACAGACAGTTAAATAATCAGTTGTTTAATGGCCGACATACTGAAAAGATAAATACGTTGAGGTGCATGACAACGGTTTTAAATTTGACAGACGGCAATTTACACAGTGTAAGGTTTATTTTTTAAGAGTAAAGATTGTTGTCAGGTTTAAGCCCACCTAAACATTGTAAAAGTAATAAGAAAGACAAGAGATTAATATCGTTTTCTCATGAGGAGGGCGGACAGAGAGTGCATTTACCGTTACAATCTCTACCCGCTCTGATGCACTCCCTGCATCTCCTCTTTTTATTGTCATAAGGGAGTCCCTAGTTACAATGGGTGTTTCTCTAAGGGGAGTGGTTGAAAACAGCAAAAAACAGTAGAAACATCAGACATGATTTCATTGTGCAAATATGTCTATTCAGCAGCAGGTGGCCGATAAGGTGTAGCATCATTGTTGTAGCATCTTTGTTGTAGCATCTTTAGGAACAGCACGTCCCCTCCAGCACGTCCCCTTCTTTCTGCCATCCTTGAGAGCTGCCCTCTTTCCCAGAAAAGTGAGAGCCGTCCTCTTTCTCAGAAAAGAGCTGACTAAGTCATTGTTTTAGCGGTGTGCAGAGTGGGTGACATGTCACTGC